ACCAGTGTGTTTATATACACATTCACATGTATAAGCATAGTAATTATAATGGCCTTACAGTAACCCATTATATCGATATGCCACAGATATTGCCTTCCTGAGGCTGGGTAACTTTGTGAAAAGAGCATGAGGCTGGCAATACCAAATGCTGGCCAGGATGTGGAGCAACAGGGAAAAAAGTCATTACTGATGGGAATGCAAAATGGTACACCCACTTTGGAAGACAGTCTGGCAGTTTCTTACAAAACAACATACTCTTACCACACAATCCAGGAATCATGCTCCTTGGTATCTATCCAAAGGAGATGAAAACTTGTGTCCATACAAAAACCTGCACACGGTTGTTTATAGCAGCTTTATTCACAATTGCCAAAACTTGGAAGCAACCAAGATGTCCTTCAGGAGATGAACGGATAAATGAACTGTGGTACATCCAGACAAAGGAATGTTATTCAGTGCTAAAAAGAAATGAGCTACCAAACCATGAAAAGACATGGAGGAACCATGAAAAGACATGGAGGAACCTTAAATGAGCTACCAAACCACGAAAAGACATGGAGGAACCTAAGAAGCCAATCTGAAAAGGCCATATACTGTACAATCCCTACTATGTGACATTCTGGGAAAACCAGGACTATGGAGACAGTAAAAAGATCAGTGGTTTCCAGGGGTTAGTAGGGAGGGAGGGATGACTAGGCAGAGCACGGGGGACTTTTAGGGCAGATTAATATATCATATTAATAATATAATACTACCATACAGACTACTCTGTATGATATTATAATGGTGGATATAGGTCATTATACCTTTGTCCAAACTCATTATACAACTCCAAGAGTAAATCCTAACATAAACTATGGACTTCAAGTGATAATGATGTGGCAATGTAGGTTCATCAGTTGTAACAAAAGTGTCACTTTGGTGGGAAAGTTGACAATGGAGAGGCTGTGCAAGTGTGGGGGCAGGGGGCATATGGGAAATCTCTGTACCTTTCCTTTCAATTTTACTGTGAACCTAAAACTGCTCTTTAAAAAATAGTCTTTAGGCCGGGCGAGGTGTCTCACGCCTGTAATCCTAGCACTCTGAGAGGCTGAGGCAGGAGGATCCCTCAAGGTCAGGAGTTCGAAACTAGCCTGAGCAAGAGCGGATCCCGTCTCTACTAAAAATAGAAAGAAATTAATTGGCCAGCTAAAAATATATAGAAAAATTAGCCGGGCATGGTGGCACATGCCTGTAGTCCCAGCTACTCGGGAGGCTGAGGCAGGAGGATTGCTTGAGCCCAGGAGATTGAGGTTGCTGTGAGCGAGGCTGACACCACGGCACTCACTCTAGCCTGGGCAACAGAGCGAGACTCTGCCTCAAAAAAAAAAAAAAAAAAAAAAAAGCACAGGCATGCCACAGATGTGGGAGTTGGACTGCTATCTCTGTCCAATTGTGTGTGACTCTTAGGTTAAGGTAAATCACTTAACCTTTCTTCGTTTTAGTTTCCTCATCTCTAACTGGGAAATATGATCTCTATCTCATAGGGTTGTGGTGGGATGATATAAAGCGTGTGTGTGGCTCATAGCTGATGCCCAGTGAGTTAGTAGAAGCCGCAGTGTGTGTTTGTGTCTTTCTCCCCCATGGGATCAGGAGCTCCTCCTGGGCAGGGACCTAACTCACTTCTGTAACCAACCATCTAGCACATTGCCTGGCACTTGGACACCATGAAAGTTTCCAGAGTGGATAGTAAGCCCTAACCTAGGCTTTCCTATCTGCTGGACATTTGAGTTGTCTCTGGGCTTTTTGCTAGTAACAACATAGATTTCAAAGCCCTGCCATTTATATTGCCTCATTTCACCTGCGCCCCCTGTGAAGCAGGCAGAAAGGGGATATTTGCACATGCCCCCACTCTGGGAAAGAAGGAACAGCTGTGGTTCAGGGAAGTGATTGGCTCCTATGGGTCACGTCACAAATCAGCAGCAAAGATTAGAACCCCTGACCTTGCCTCCCTTCCTCGGCGGTCTCTTTTCCCTCTAGCTACCTCCTGCTGGGTCAGTGGCCTCTCCAAAAATGGAGACCGTGATGGTGGCCCTGACTTAAGGGCAGCACCTGCCCCCCCCCCAGGCCCCTGTTGGAGGTGGTGAGCCGCCAGCTCCCACATGGCCCTCTGAAATGCCAGGAAACCGAATACCTTATTCCCAAACACATCAGAGCCCATGTTTCCCAAAGCAAGGAGCTTCTTAGGAAAGAGCCAGCATGCCCGCTTTGATTTCCTTTCTTTCTTTTTTTTTTCTTCTGAGAGGGTGAAGAGGAGAGCTCTGAGTTGTCCAGGAGGAGGGACTTTGACTAAAAATAGCTATGGCGTGTGGATCAGGCCCTAGTGGTACCCAGGACTGGAGAGGGGAGGGGGATGCTCTGGAGCTGTCGCCAGACTGGTTACCGTGGAAACGAGAGAGGAGCAGGGGAGCCTGGGAAGTGGGGATGACACAGATAGCAAGTCCTAGTCAGAGCTGCCGCTACATTTAGGAGAAACGGCGGTGTCTGCGGCTCCCACCCTCCAAGGGGGCCCGTGGGGGGGGCGGTGTCAGGGGCATGGACGCCACCCCCCAGGGGTCTCTGCTGCCGGCTACTCTCCTCTCCACGTGCTGTGAGTTGAGTTGTGGGGGACTTGGGGTTTGGGCCCCTATTTCCAAGGCAAGTGGGGGTTTGGGAGGAGCTGGTTCCTGAGGGAGTTTTCACCAGATCTCCTTCCAAAAGATAAGCCCCCTTGCTGCCCAGCACTCTATACTGGGAGGAGAAGGGGTCCAGGAAAATGTGGCACTGGGATCTTCTGGACAGGGGTCACAGCATGCACAAGAAATGAGAAGGAGTAGGTTGGAGGAACTGGAATTATTGGAGGGAAGATGCAGCAATCAAGTCCTTGATCTTGAAATAGAGGGAACATTTTCACACCTTTCCTGCCCCACGAGAAAAATGCAGCCCCCCACTCAGGACGATGGGAGATGGGACACAATCTAAATAAGGCTTACCTAGATCCTTGGGGTAATGGAGAGTGTGAGTTTTGGGGGTGATAAGATATTGGGGTCCCTTCTCCATCCCTGGGCAGAAAGAACTAAGCAGCAGACTGGAGGTCGGATTACCTAAGACCCTGAGAGAACATCTGGAAGCCCACCTGGAGCTAAAGCTAGGATAAATGGGACCTGGGTACTTTCCTGCATGACCTGGGGTCTCTGAGCCACTTAAAGCTTAGAGATCACTTCTGAGGACATCCTGAGCTGCAGGGATGGAAAAAGAAGCCCATTATTGGGGGAGAGGAAGACCCTAATCTGTCATTGTCATGGGGCTTCTGGATTCCATGTCCCCTGACTCCATGGAAAATAAATGTAGAGGGTGCCCCTAAGCTCTAAGCCATCTCTTTTTGGTCTATCTTCCTGCTCTCTACCCCAATACACACACACACACACACACACACACACACACCACTGCTCCAAAGGGCCGGCTGCAGAGCACCTCACTCCATAACTTGAAATTCTGGAGTGCGGGGTTTAGAGCCACATATCCAGGCAGCTTCTCCCCAGGACCTGGTCAGACATCCAGACCATCTGTGTGATCCTTATGTCGCAGTCCTCCGTCCTCCATCCCAGCCCCCTCACTTCATCCCAGGTTTCCTTGGAGTGGGGAAAGAAAACGATTCCCAGGAAAGAGAAAGGAAGATTGAAGAGTCCCAGATCCTTATTCTAGGGGGTCCTGGGTGCCTAACGAAGGGTTCTGGACCTCTCCCTGGGCAGATTGCAGCACGGGAGCTCCTCAGGGAGAATTTAAAACAAAATCAGGTGTACTTTGCTTGGAATGTGGGCTTTGGGGCATATGGCGGGTGGGGGCGGGCTGATGTTAGGATAGTCAATGGGAAGTGGGAGGCTGGGGGAAATGAGCTAGAAGGGGTGGGGAAATAAATGTGGGTGCTTAGTGCTTCACTGGGTCTGATCTCATGTCTCTCAAGAAGAATAGGATACTAGAAGGATACAAACCTAACTCTTGATGAACTCTGTGCTTCCTTTACCCCAGCTGTCTCTGCTGATCTCATATCCTCCAGTCCCCCTCCCCATTTTCAGGCTGTCTCCACCGAGGAAACACCCAGGGGAAATGGGCTGACACAAGGGCAGCAGTGGTCATGGTTAGGACTCAGGATTTCCAGGGGCAATTTCCTAAGGTTGCGGCCCTTGCTTTCCACAGCTTCCCATCTCTCTCCTTTGTCAGCTTGTTGAGGGGAGGAAGATGTGGGAGGGTGTGGAGCGAGTGGGATCCGGGGATGAAGAATGGGAAAGAATTTCTGTGGGTCAATCTTGGGGTGGACTTCAAAAGAGCCTGGTTAAACCTGCAGGTTGCCCTGCCGGGAACAGTCACGGGGGCTGCACTGACACCAGCAGGGCAAAGGAGGGCAGAAGTCCCTAGGGCAGGGAGGGCTCCACGCGGCAGAAGAGAATTAACCACCTGCCCCAAAGAGCCCCCAGTCTAACGATTTCATGAAACTCCCTCCCGGCCTGGGTCTTCTGCCCCGGAATGCCCGTGAGGTGCTGCACGCCCCAGCTAGAGGTGGTGGCGCCAAGGTCTCTCTGGTGTCCCCTTCACCGGGAAACCATCATCGAACTCTATTCGAAGTGCTATTCAGTTCACTTACATTATCCCATTCGATCCCCACAACTTCTCGAGCGTGGGGGAGCAGCTAGGGCTGTATGTATTGCACCCATTCTACCGATGCAGAAACGGAGGCTGAGGGACACAAAGGGACTCACTCGCCCAGGGCCACCCGGCACCCGGCGCTGGCCCCGAGGTCTCCCGCGTACCCCTCTCCCGCGGGTCCGTTAACTCGGCAAATCTTTATTAAGCCCCTGCAGGACCCCCGGCGCCACCGAGGCGCCCGGCGAGGGGCCGCGGGTGGCGGCTGCCCGGGCCCCCGGCGCCCTGCGGGAGTCCGCAGCGCCCGCACTGACGCCGCCGTCGCCGTCGCCGTCGCCGTTGCCGTCGCCGTCGCCATGGCGCAGGAGAACGCCGCCTTCTCGCCGGGGGCCGAGGAGCCGCCGCGCCGCCGCGGCCGCCAGCGCTACGTGGAGAAGGACGGCCGGTGCAACGTGCAGCACGGCAACGTGCGCGAGACGTACCGCTACCTGACCGACCTGTTCACCACGCTCGTGGACCTGCAGTGGCGCCTCAGCCTGCTCTTCTTCGTGCTCGCCTACGCGCTCACCTGGCTCTTCTTCGGCGCCATCTGGTGGCTGATCGCCTACGGCCGCGGCGACCTGGAGCACCTGGAGGACACCGCGTGGACGCCGTGCGTCAACAACCTCAACGGCTTCGTGGCCGCCTTCCTCTTCTCCATCGAGACGGAGACCACCATCGGCTACGGGCACCGCGTCATCACCGACCAGTGCCCCGAGGGCATCGTGCTGCTGCTGCTGCAGGCCATCCTGGGCTCCATGGTGAACGCCTTCATGGTGGGCTGCATGTTCGTCAAGATCTCGCAGCCCAACAAGCGCGCCGCCACGCTCGTCTTCTCCTCGCACGCGGTGGTGTCGCTGCGCGACGGCCGCCTCTGCCTCATGTTCCGCGTGGGCGACCTGCGCTCCTCGCACATCGTCGAGGCCTCCATCCGCGCCAAGCTCATCCGCTCGCGCCAGACGCTCGAGGGCGAGTTCATCCCGCTGCACCAGACCGACCTCAGCGTGGGCTTCGACACGGGCGACGACCGCCTCTTCCTCGTGTCGCCCCTCGTCATCAGCCACGAGATCGACGCCGCCAGCCCCTTCTGGGAAGCGTCGCGCCGCGCCCTGGAGAGGGACGACTTCGAGATCGTCGTCATCCTGGAGGGCATGGTGGAAGCCACCGGTGCGGGCGGGGGCCCGGGGAGGGAGCGGGCTTGGCAGCGGGTGGGCAGGGCACGGGAAGGCAGGGGCAAGAAGAGGGGCCAGGGGAGGGGAGGGTGGATGGACAGGCCGCTGGAGGAGGAGAGGTGACGTGAGGTAGGGGGACCTGGGTGGGGGGCCCGGGGGTGTGGGGATGAACCGAGAGACGCCGCCGCAGAGGGCCAAGAGAAAGCTTGGGGGAATTCTAAGTGGCACCGGCTTGGGGCCCCGGGCTGAGAGTTTATGTGTCACTTGGAATAGGAAGAGTGGTAATGATAGCTGTGTCGAGCATGGTTCCAAAGCACTTTACAGCTCTGAGTTCATTTGATCCTAACAAGAATCCCCTGAAGGTAACTTCTTGTCATTATGCTCATTTTTAAGAGATGAGATTGCCCCTAAAGAAATGTTAAGTATATTAGCCACTGTCCTAAGCTAACGCGACCATGCCTGGACTGGACACAGGTGGTCTGGCTTCAGGGTTTAGTGGATTTTGCTCATTGTGCAGAGATCCAGGCCCCTGGAATTTGATGGTGAAGGTTTTCCATGGCCTGAGTTATTCCTAGGCTGAACATTAAGCAGAGGTTAATACCTGGTCTCGCTTCTGCCTCAGTTTCCCCATTCATCGAAAGACTCTCAATATCCACTGACCAGGGAGAATAGATGATGCTGCCATACCTAGCCCCTTCCCAAAAGAGAACTGGCAAATCGCCTGTTGTGTCAGTACCTCCAACTCAGACACGGTGAAGGGTTTGGGACAGGTAGGAAAAGACCAGCATAAGAGCTGCAAATGAGATCTCTTGCGACTTGAGATCTGGAAGTGGAATGAGGATAAGGAAACTGCAGGTGGAGAACCAAAGGCCCACTAGGGGGCGCTGCGGTTCCTGCCTCTGATGCTCCCTGCTGTTTTCTCCTGCAAGCTGCTGCCTTCCGGTCCTTTCCCCGCCCTTCACGCTCAGCCTCTGCTTCACACTCCCACCCCAACCGCCCCTTAAAGTTCCCCACTCCTCTTTCATCCCAACTGGGCTCCCCCAGCTATTTCCCCTCCCCCCACACACCCCATTCCCTTCTCCTCCTATCTCCAGCTTTCACTCCTCTTTTGCCAGTATTTCAGGCAGGCCCCCTTCTTCCAGGGAAGTTCCTGTCTGGCCCTCCTTTCCCTTTGTACTCCCAGCCCCTTCCTCTCTTCCTCTCAGCCCCTCTCTCCCCATGTCCCTTATGCCTCTTCTTCCCCTCTCCCACTAGACACCTCTTGTTCCAGCCTTCACCAAAGAATACCAATGTCCCCAAGGTGTCTCGGGGCCAGGCTTTCCATGTTGAGGGACAGTCTCTCCGGTTAGCAAATGTTCACTCACCTCTTCCCTCTCGTTCTGAGATGGACACGGGTTGGGGGAGAGACCCTTGGGTAGGAGGAGAATGACCTGCCCTGGGCTGTGCACTGACCCAACAGGGAAAACAGGACACAGGCCCAGGGCAAGGAGGACCGGGGAGGGTGGGGTGGAGAAGAGGGAGATGGAAGCGTGTCTGATTTTTCTGGAGAGATAAAGCTGGAAAGGATGGTAATATTTTGGGTGAGAGAGTCAGGATTCAAACTGCTTTTGAAAAGCAAGAATAATGAGCCAAAACCCAACCAGATGACATTTAAAAGGAATAAATATAAAATTCTACATTTAGGCTTTTAAAAAATCACTTATGTAAGCACAGCATGGCAGAGCTCTGGTGAAAAAAGAACTGGGGGTTTTAGTTGGCCACAGGCTTGATGTCGTAGCAATGTGATGCAGCCTCCAAAAATGTTTATGTAATGTAATCTCAGGCCCTATTAGTTAAAACATCATAGCCAGGGGAGATGGGGAGCCTTCTCTAATGCATAGATCAGACCACAACTGGAGAATTTATCACACTCAAAGTACTTAAAGGGTCCTCCTTGGCCATTCTGGCTTGCTTTCAAGAAAGTAAAATTTTGGGAAGCCAGATCAAATGAGGAATGGTGGAGGGAGCTAGGGATGTTCAGTGAAAAAGAGAAGACACAGAGAACCTGAGGTTCCTGTTTTCAGATACTCAAAGGCATGTCGACTGGGAGGGGAATGAAATGGAGGGGTGGAAATCACAGGAGGCAAATTTTAGCTCTGCATAAAGACAAACAATCCAACTATTAGAGCCATCACACACAGGAGTGGGCTCCTTGTGAGGTGATGAGCTGTCAATCTTGGGAGGTAATCAAGTACAAGCTAGAAGCCTGTTGTTGGGAATGCTCCAGTGGGGAGCTTTGTATGGAGTGGGAAGTTGGATTAGATGATCACTAAGGTTAGTTTCAAGGTTCAGTTTCTCTGGTTGGCATCAGCAAAGGAGAAGGGCAAGGGAAATAGGGCTGGAGATTATGAGAAGTGAGAAACAGAGAAGAGGTGAGAGAGCTAGCAAGCACAGGAGTGGGGAGAGGAAAAAAATGGGCTGGACCAGAGGGAGGTGGGGGGCCTTGGGGCGGGCTGGGGAAGGGTGCCGGGAATAGGGGTGCAGAATGAGAGGCAGGACAGGGAAACCTGGGGCTGGGATCCTCCTGACTGTGCCCCTCCCCCTAGGAATGACATGCCAAGCTCGGAGCTCCTACCTGGTGGACGAGGTGCTATGGGGCCACCGCTTCACGTCCGTGCTGACCCTGGAGGACGGTTTCTACGAGGTGGACTATGCCAGCTTCCACGAGACCTTTGAGGTGCCCACGCCCTCGTGCAGTGCCCGGGAGCTGGCAGAGGCTGCGGCCCGCCTCGATGCCCATCTCTACTGGTCCATCCCCAGCCGGCTGGATGAGAAGGTGGAGGAGGAGGGGGCAGGGGAGGGGGCCGGTGGGGAAGCTGGGGCTGACAAGGAGCAGAATGGCTGCCTGCCACCCCCAGAGAGTGAGTCCAAGGTGTGACCAGTTTCCACCAGACCCCTGTGGCAGACCGGGGGCCAGACACAGGTACATGGGAGCTGGATATCAGAGGTGGAGGCTGCAGGCAAGGTCCCTGGAAATGCGCCAAAGTTGGAGAGGCCCCTTCAGAAGCTTGAGTCTAGGATCCACTGTGGAAGGGATGGGTCCTGATTTCAGGAAAATGGAGGGTGGGGACGGGTGAACGTACAAGTCTGTCTGTGTTTGACCTTCACATCTGTTCATGGGCGGATGGATGGACAGAAGGATGGACTTATGGGGGCTGGAGGGGAAGGTGGTGGCAGGTAAAGACAGCTGATGGGATAGGTAAATGGACCGATGGACGGTCAGTACACTCAGGGCTGCTGCTAACCCATAGAGCACCTTGGTGCAAATCTTAGAAGGCACCCTTTTCCTCCGGACAGATGCAGCCTCAAACCAGGCTGCATGGCTTGGGGAACAGAGTGTGGGATTGCAGAACCCACTCGCCTCTTCAGCCAGCCTCCCTGGGTATGGCACACCTATCTAACTGGACACAGTGGCCCAAGGTGAGCCAGAGGAGACAGAGCTGGACAGAGATGGCACAGATGAGGAGGTGCCCTCCCAACTCCACCCCTACCACTGTGACAGGCTGCACAGGAGGGCGAAGGGCTGTAAGGGGGACCTTAGTCCATGGGTGGGTGCAGGGAAGCAGGCCGTTGGGGAGATGCTGGAGCTGGAGCCCTGGAACAGGGCTGGGGAAGGAGACCAGGGGTGGCTATTTTCCAACAGTGGAGAGAGAGATTACAGGTACCACTTTAGAGGCAGGAAGAGAGAGAGAGGTTCTGAGGAGGAAGAGCCAGGGTAGAGATCTAGAAAGTGGGTTCGCTAGAGCCAGGACATAGGGGGCCCTGGGAAAGCAGAGTTTGTTCCTGGGTCACAGTGGGGAGGAGTCATTCAAATCACTGACTGGGTGCCACATGCAGTGGACATTCACAGCCCTGGTTCCTATCCTGGGAATATAGGGCACATGGGAAAACAGAGGAATTCACAGGTGAGATGTGGTTCAAACAGAGCCTGCGCGATCTCCTGGAGCAGAGAGCAGGAGGGGTTGGGAAATCAGAAAGCTAGGTCTTGATGGCACAGGGGATGATGGGAGCCAGCAGTTCGAATACATACCTGGAGGGCTTGTTAAAACACAGATTTCTGGGCCTCACTCCCAGGGTTTCTGCCTCAATAGGTCTGGAGTGGAGACCAAAAATTTGCATTTCTAACAAGTTCCCAGGTCATTCTGCTGCTGCTGGAATAGGGACCACACTCTGAGAACCATTGCTCTAAGCAAAGCCATAGTGGTCAAAGGGGATGGGCACACAAGCCGGGAGTGGCTGAGAAGCTGAGGACCCTCTGGGACAGAGAATGTAAAGGACCGAGTATTGTGTGTGGGAAAGAGGACTGGAAGCCCAGGCTGAAGAGCTTAACTTTGGGCCCAGGAACTCAACTGTCAGTGGAAAAGGGGCAGTGACAGCAGAAGTGGGGTCTGGGAAGAAGAGTGGGCCAGAGGGACAGGATGGAGCAGTTAGAACTCAAGGGGGTTCCTCTGCAGGTAGTGGGGTGCTGGGGCAGGAAGGGCTTCAGTGGCAAAGGGTAGACTCCCTTGTAGGACTGAGAGGCAGGATTGAATGTGGGAGATGTGAGAGGAGCCCAAACTTCTGGATGTGTGTGCGGCCAGCTGTCAGCCCAGCTGGGCGGGGCCCCTGGACACTCATATTTCCACCCCACCGCCACCTCTTTCCCGGTCTCAATCCAGTCACCAGCAGCAGCCCCCTGGATGGTGAGGGGAGAGCAGCAGCAAGCTGAGAGGGGCAGAGGGCCGGGGGGACCTGAGGCTGGCCTCCTGGCGAAAGCATAGACCAGGCAAACACGACCTCTGACAGGGGACCCCAGGCCCACAGCAGCACCCCCCAGCAAGGACCTCCTCCCTCGGTCCTGGCCGCACCCCACTCCTGTCCTTTAACTAAAGTCCAAGCCCCCTGGGGGAAGCACCCAGGTCTGCTCTGTCCCAGGCTGGGCAGCCAGGGAACCATGGGGTACTGCACCTACTGGAGGCAGGAAAGGGGGTCATGGAGGGAGCCCAGCCCAGCTTGGGTCCACCCAGAGAGGACCCACGCCCCAGGCCCTTCCCTTCAGCCTAGGCATGAACATCTTTGACCTAAGTCACAGGACCACCTGGGTCACCCTCAGTCAAAGATGAGGTCCTTGAACCCTGGCATTTGGCTGGTTCCCAAGAGCAGATGTTGGGTTAGGGAATGGAGACTCATTTGGGCTTCACTCAATGAAACAGGTGGGGTCTGGACAAGAGGGGCGGGCTGCGTGGCATCTGCACACACACACAGTAGTTAACCCGCTATAATTGGACAGGCAGAGAAACTGAGGCTGGAGCAGGCCCCCTCCTGCCCCTGGAAGTCACTGAGACCTTGCCACACCTCTCTTCACCACTGTCACCACTCAGGGCACCACTGTACAGTGCAAAGTCAGGAGACCTGGGTTCTAGTCCTGACACAGACTCTTGCTAATTAGTTCTATGACTCTGGACAAGTCATATCACTTTTCTGGGCCTCAGTTTCCTCATCTGTAAAAATGACACTTAGCAAACTAGCAATGCTCAATAAATGTTTAAATAACTGAATTGGAAAAGGTAGACTGGATGCCTCTTAAGATGCAGTGCAGTTAAGAATTTCAGGATCAGAGACTCCTTAGGCGAGGAAATTCAGGGAGCCCCTGGGGTGCTGGAGGAGGGGGGAAGTGGGCAGGGGGGAGAAGGGAGGGGAGGCTCTGGGATGGATGGATGCAGGTGCAGGGCTCTGTGCACCCACAGGCCCTGCCCTGACTGATAATAGTCCCCACCACCCAGGCTCCAGGTGGCTGCGTTCTGGGTCTTCTATTCTGCGGCTGTCAGACAGAGTAATTAAAGTCAGAAGGAAAAAGATTGAGGCCCCAGGGCCTGGTGGGAGGAGTCAGGTCCAAGACAGCCCCACCAGGAGAATGAGACAGGCAGAGTGGGATGGAGTCTGGGGAGCTTGGAAAGGGCCCTGTCCCTGGAAGCCCCTGCCCTGTAACATAGGAGGGGGCTGAGGAAGGGGGGGGGTGAGCTCAGCTGCAACCCACCCTCCCTTACTCTGCCCCCACCTGCAGATAGGAGTCCAGTCCAGAGCTAGCTGAGTACTGACAGTTCAGGCAGCAGATGGAACCCAGGTGTCCCCTCTGGGCTGGGTAGCATGGTCCACGGAGGCCAGATGGTGTGTGTGGTAGGAAGAGAGGCCTGGGTCGTCCAGAATAGGTTGTCAATCCCCTGCAGCCTCCCAGCTACACACCCCACCCCTGCCTTTTACAGCCTCATGGCAGGGGAAGATATAGCCAGGCCTGGATTTTATAAAACAAGTTTATTCACATTTTAGAAAAACTAATTCCAGGACAGGGAATGGCCTCCCTGTAGGATGGGTATGTGATCGAGACAGAAGGCCAGCGGGAGGAATGGGGGAGGGAAGGAGTGGGGAACGGGGGCCATGACTCCCACTCTGGGTGGAGGGAGGTCAAATAAATTAAAGGAAGTTGGACAGAGGGAGCGGGTATCCGGGCAACCAGAGGAGAACGTGGAGCTAGGCTGAAGACAGTCGACACCTGCAAGACCTGGAGAGAGAGCGAGGTGTGGGCTGAGGGCAGAGCGGCCTGCCTGGGGCTCCTTCTTGGCCCTCACCTGCCAACAGGCCCCTGGGGAACTGGGCCGCCTGCTCCTCCTCTAGCTGGGGCCCAGAAGGGAGCAGCTCAGCTCAGGACTCGGGGTGGGAAGCCTGAGGGAGACAGGGTTGGGGGTTTCTTTTCCCTCACCTGGGAAGTGAAGATCACCGTTTTCGCAGCCTCCTCATGAAGCAGCAGGTGATGGTGCCAAGGACGGTGGCGCCGGTGACAAGGGCCACCCCTGCACCCACCAGCAGGGGCACAAGTAGGGTGTCCAGGGCTGGGTGAGAGAAGATGGCTGTGGTCAGTGGTGCCATCACCCTCCGCCCCGTCACCCTTGTCTCCAGGACTTTCCCCAGCAAGTTCCCCTCCCCCACTCGCAGACACCCCTTCCCTGCCCACTGCCTGCCCGCAGCACCCTCCATGGAAGACCTGGGCGGACACGCTGAAAGCTGGATCTTCCAGACTTTTCACGTGATGCAATGGGGAGGAGAGAGAGGACGGTAGCAGGAGGGTCAGACGATAGATGGGAAGGGAAGAGCAAGGGCAGGGGGTTGGGAGGAAGGGGGCACTCACCATGCGTGTAGGGGTAGACCGTGACAGGCCCCGAGCGGGCACTGCCCGCCTGGTACCAGCTGTAGTCGGCGTGCTGCACCCAGGCACTGGGGGCGCAGTGGTACACGCCTTCGTCCTCGGGCCCCAAGCTGTGTAGTCGCAGCCGATGGCTTCGGGGCCCCACCAGCTCCACGCTGACAGGGCCTCCTCCGGGCCGGTCCCCCAGCTCTGCTACACCGTCCTGGCCCACGCCACCCACCAGCTGGGCAGGGGCTAAGCTCAGCTCCCCGTCCTCAGGTCGTTCCACCCACCAGCTGGCAGCCAGCCGCAGCCCGGGGGGGCCGCCCCGCACGGAGATGTTGCACAGCAGGGAAGCGGTCTCCCCCCGGTACACAGCGCCGCCTGCTAGCCACGCCACAGCCTCCAGCACCACACCTGCGCAACAGAGGACGTGGGGTCGGAGGGCGAAGGTCAGCGGGCATGGGGCCAGGGCTGCTGTCCAAGCAATGCCCGGCAAACCCAGGGTGTTTCCCACAGTCTTGGTAGTCTTAGGAGTGTGGGACTCAGGTGTGGAGGCAGCAGGTGCAGAAGGAGAGGGGGCCGTGCAAACAGAAGGAAAAGGGTTCTACAAGCCCCGACCCCACTCACCTTCCTCCCGCACGTGCACGGGGAGGGGCCGGGAGCGGGCGCTGGCTGCTTCACGAAGCCGGGTCCCAGAGCCCCGGACGTAGGCTTTGGCGAGGCAGCGGTAGGTGCCCGCGTCACCAGGCCTGGCAGCCTCCAGCCGTAGCCGGTAGGTTCTGGACGCCACCTTCTCCATGGCGATGTGCCGGCCCTCGTAGCCAGGGCCCAGGCTGCCCACACCCTCTGTGTCCAACTGGGCTACAAGGCGGCCGGGCCCAGGTGCCCCTGCAGGTGCCATCTCCCAACCCACAGAGTATGCAGCGTGACGGCCTGCCGGGGGCAGCGCCCCTGACACGTTGCACAGCAGTTCCAGGGGTTCCCCGGGGCCGATCCGACGCTCACCGGGCCCCACTGCCACTGCCAGCTGGCTGGCTGGAACACAGGAGTGGGGAAGGGGCGTCAGGGAGGTGGGAGGGCGCCTGGAGGTGCCTGATTCCCCAACCTGCAGTTCCTTCCTTGACAGCAGCAACGTCAAGGCCTGTCTGCCCCCACGGGGTAGGACCCTCTCCCACCCAGGGGCCTGAACCCCACCCCTCAGCCCCAGCCCTCCAATCTCCACACCTAGTTTCTGAGCAGAGAAACCCATGGCGGGTAGAGAGGAAAGCAGATGCTCATGGGGCTGCTCACTCTTGGAAGACCAGTTCCCCAGAGTCAGACGATGGCCGCCTCTTGCCCCCAGCGGCCGTGGTGCCCACCAGGATCCCGTCCCTCCCAGCTCCCGCAGTGGGATGTGTGGCACTCACACAGCGTCTGCACGTCCACGTGGGCCAGCACGGCCCTCTTCTCTGCGATCTGGGCCCAGCTGCCATCAGGGTCCTGAATCCACTCGGTGGCAGTGCAATGGTAGGTGCCTGCGTCCCCCGCCTGGGCACCCCCCACGACCATGCGGTACCTGTCAGCCCCTTCCTTGCCCAGCCGCAGCTCCCCTGCAGCCAGCCGCTCAGCATAGGGCGCTCCGGCCTCCACAGCCAGGTCAGACCGGAGGCCCACCACCTCCTGCAGGGTCGCTCGCCCCACCGGGGCCTCTGGCACGGCTCGCCCAAAGGACACCGCCAGGTGTGTGTGTTTCTGCGTGCTCGTCCGCGCCAGGCAGCCCAGAGCCAGCTCCTGCCCCTCGTGCACCGTCAGGCGTGGGGGCGAGGTCGGGGCCTGGCGGCCTCGGGGCCCAGGGGGGGCAGCGGACACCTGCAGCACATCTGGAAGAACTGGAGAGCACGGCTGGAGTGAGGGAGGGCCGGGAGCGGGCGGCCCTGGTTACTGCTTCCTGCGTACACCCCGTTTCCCTAAGTAGACTGTGAGCTCCTAGGGGGCAAAGCCTGCGTGTTGTATTATTTCTTCTGTAACTCAGTGGTGCCAAGTACGACGCTGGGCACACCACAGGCGCTCAATAAATACTTGTTGAATTTCACAGAACAAGTTCTCTGCAAACTCACTCTGATGTTAGAGACTGACCCCCGTTTGAAATACTCAGAAAAGTAGCTCTGTCTTCCTTTTCAGAAGATAAAGAAACTTAAGGAGAAGGTCTCATGGTCTAACTCCTACCCCACCTTTACTCTCCTCCTCAGATCCGGGTCCTGTATTCTCCAGGAGTAGAGTCTATTCCACCCATCAGGCTTCTCCACCCCCCATCAGGAATGGAGAGGGGACTGGACACCTTAAGGACACTTCCCCTTCTCCCAGGAGGTAGCCTGACATGATAAAGAACGGGACTGGAATGAGGAGTCTGGGTTTGAGTCCCACACCAGCCACTGATTTGCTGGGTGACTTTGTACAAGTCATTCAACCTCTCTGGGCCTCAAATTCTGCAGCTGCAAAACCTGAGGGGTAATTAGGTAGGTCCCTCCTAGCCCTGACTTTTTACCTTGAGGGTAGGTGTGGCCCCAGCCCCAACCCAGGGCCCAGTACCTCTCAGCTCCACCTTGCCGCTGTAGCTGCCCAGGTAGCGGGCATCAGTGGACGGGGTGTAGCACTCGTAAACGCCAGCATCCTGGGCCTGCAGGCGGGCGATCTTGAGCACCACGGCATCACCCTGTAAGCGCTGCACCTGCACCTCGCCAGCCGCCACTCGGGGCCCGAAGACAGCGTAGGAGAACCGCGTATCCCTGGTGCTGACGATGCCCAGTGCAGCCTCTGGGGCCTCAGGCCTGTACAGGAACCACTCGAAGTCCTGCTGGGCAGGGCCCTCGTAGCCACTCACATTGCAGGAGATGGAGACAGCCGTGCCAGCCACGCGGTACAGGGGCCCCTCGGGGACCAGCACCTCCCGGGCCCAGCCCCCGAATCCTGTGGGAGAAGGCAGAAGGGGTTGGAGATGCCTGACCCCCACCAGCACCATTCTTGACCCCTGCCTGTGAAAGGAAAGGAAACCTGGGGAAAGTTGGTACAGCTGGGACCCTCTTCTGAGAACAAGGAAAGGGTGCTGGGTCATCAGACACCTGAGGCTCAAGGAAGTGGGCTAGGCCTAGGCTGGCCTCAGAACCCAGCTGCATCTCACTTCTGACCCACCAGAAGCAGACAGCAGACAGACCCCAGCGGGCCAAGAGGAGTGCGTCTGATTCCTGACCTAACCAGCCCTGGGTTCCAGCTGGACCTCGCTCTCCCACCTCTTCGCCCACCTCCATGTCTGCCATTCCTTCTTCAGGGCCTGGTCAGGAGAGCCTGCTGGCTAGGGGAGTCTGAGGCTACATGTCCCCTCCTTTGCTTGATGGGAGCTGGCAAAATCTTGCTCAGAAGGGCTGGTTGGCTCAGCTGTGTCACCTGGGCCAGACAATGGAGCCAGTGGCCCAAGCTGGACGGGGCACAGACCGAGTCAGTCCTCACCACACAATGCCCTCCCCCTGCAGCTGTGCCATGAGCTCACTGCTTCTCCCACCCCACAGGGATGCCGAGGCAGCTGGGGCTTCTGGGGAAAGATCCAGGCTCTGCCCTGGCCTGGGGGCAGAAGATCCCCTCCCCCAGTGCCTGCCAACCTTCTTGGCTAGGCTAGGCTAGCCCAGCTGACGCACCACACTCCCCAACTCCCTAACAAAGCCTTCATTTGCATATGCAGTGCAGTGATTTACATATGGCTCCCTTTCTGTGGGGAGGCACTGCACCCCCAGCCACCCCTTCTCACCCCTTCTCATCTCGGCTCAGAGGCCCAGAGCACCACACTCCCCAACTCCCTAACAAAGCCTTCATTTGCATATGCAGTGCAGTGATTTACATATGGCTCCCTTTCTGTGGGGAGGCACTGCACCCCCAGCCACCCCTTCTCACCCCTTCTCATCTCGGCTCAGAGGCCCAGAGGCCGAACCTCTCTGCCTGACCCTACCCCTGGCAGCCCTGGAGGGCTCAGCTTCTCCCTTCTCTCCTTCCATAGTCCCTTCCCCCATTTTACAGGTGAGAAAGGTAAGGCAGGAGCTATACAACGACTTGGCCAAGATCCCGCTATTCCTGGATGGCTCCCGCAAACTCCTGCATGGGGACAAAACCAGGGAGGAAGACGGGGGAAACTCCAAGGCTAGGCCTGAAGGGACTGACCTCACCAGCCAGAGTATCACTCACTGCCAGGCCTCCCAGGGAATATCCCTGGCCTTTCTATAGGGGCTGGAGGAAATACCCAGGAGTCTGTGGTCAAATTCTGCCCTCCAGCTCCTCTAGATTGGCTCCTCTGAACTACCCCCCACCCCCAGCTGGGCTCTTAGCCCCTTCTTTCTTCCTCTGGCTGAGTCACGGGAGAACTCGTGGTCTGTTGGTTAGGGCACAGGCTGGGAGTCAGGAGGTGGGCTCCCACCCCCAGCTGTATGGCCTGGGACCAAGTCCCTTCCTCTCCCAGTCCTCAGTTTCCACACTGGAGAACGAAGAGCTCCCAGCTCTGACAGTGAGCAAGTGTGTGACTCAGGAGGGCCCTGTCCCAGGCAGTTTCATAATCAGGATGCAGGTGGAAACTGCCCAGCTGACACCTTCCCAGGCCGCCTGAGGGCAGACTCTGCTCCGAGGGCCCCCTCCCACCCTCCTGGCTCCACAACTGCTGAGGTTTGGAGATCCCCATGGGAAAGTCACCCCCACAGCCTTAGGAAATCAGCTGCCACTCAGCTCTCTCTCCCCAGACAGGCCCCTCCTCTGTGTTGGCCACAGAAGGGAGGGAGAGCACAGAGAGGGCTGCTTTGGAGTCAGATCTGGGTTCAAATCCTAGTCCCAACATGCACTAAATGTGTTTTCTGGGGCAAGTGACTTCATCTTCCTCATCTGTGAAATGAATACAGTGGGTGCTTAGATCTCAGCAGGTTCACTCCTCCTGCGAACTGCACTTCCCCATCTCCCCAGGCTCCTCCCTGCTCCATGCTGCCCACTGGGGAAAACCAGCCAAGTGCTAGGCAACCGGGCCCCACAGCTCCTTCCTCTCCGTACCTCCTCCTGCCTCCTGCCCAGGGCCCCAAGAAGAAGACTCATCCATGCCCCATGGGGCCCAGGAACCGCAGGGAAGGGAAGACTGCTTGGTGCCACCGTGGAGCTCTGGTCTGGAAACAGGCAGCCCAGGCTACCATCAGCCTGTCCCTTGACTACAGCATCTCTGAAGTCACCAACATCCCCAACCCCCAACCCCCACACTGCACCCTCATTTCAAGGGCTTCAGTCTTCTCAACATCTGTGCAGGCAGTTTCACTGTCTCCACGTCACACTCTTCCCCAGGCCACCTCCTACAGGGAGCCCTCCAGTTCAGGCCGTAAACAATTCTGCTGTCACTACCTCCATGTACCCAGGCAAGGTTGGTCCAGAACACCCCACCATGAACACCCACCATGACAGACACAGCGTGCTTGGAGATCCCAGGATCAGTCTCCATGGAACCTGGTTTCTCCTGAGGCAAGGAAGCTGGGGCCAAGGGGGTGTGACAACTGGTGGGAGGCTGCAGAGCCGAGTGCATTTGGGAGAGGGGAAGAAGAAAGGGCAAAAGGGGGCCAAGCAGAGGGTGGAGTTGCAGCGCGAGAGGGAACTGCCCCCAACCTCAGATGATGGGGACGGCAATTAGGGGAGACTTACTTCAAAGACCGTGGGCAGAACTGGCCCCTGGGCTTCCAGCCAACTCTGGGGCAATTATGAAGCCAGGCAGGCACTGCCTACGCAGGGCGGGCACCCAAGGCCAGTCCTGGAGCTGAGTGTGGGGCAGAAAGGAGTCACACAGCATTTGGCAGGGCGACCCCTGGACTTGGGTATGCCGGCTGAGAAGTGAGGCCTGGCCCAGAGGCCTGGCAGTGTGTGGAGCGGCACCTCAGTGGGTCCTAGCCCCGGGCCTACAGCTGGAAACCCTCACTCTCCTCCTGACTGGCTCGGCAGGTGGCCACAAGGGGCAGTTGGGCGCGAGCCTGGGGAGGCTGGAGAAGGGGAGGGGGTGCAAGGAGCCCCATAATGCTGAGGCGGCGAGCCGGTCCGGGGCCGGGGGCCTGGTGGGGGTGGCAGGCACCTGCCCGGTGGGGCCGGGAACTGGGACGGGGCCAGGCTTACCCAGCATTAACAGCAGCAGCAGCGGCGGCGGCAGCGGCGTGGGCCCAAGGGCGCCCATCCTGCGCGGGCGGCTCTGGGGTAGCTCCGGGGGTCGGCGCGGGTTCTAGGGGGCCGGGGCCGCAGGGGGCGCATGCCCGAGTGGGGGGCAGGAAGCGGGGCAGCGAGGCGTGGGTGCGCCGAGCGGAGCTGAGCGGGAGCTGCCAAGTCCCCTCCCACCTCCCCTCCTCCCGTTGCTTTCCCTCCCGCCCTCTGCAGCCTCAGCGACCATCCCCGCCCCGGTCCCCGCCCCGCCCGGGTTCCCGCCCCGCCAGACTCCAACCCGGGCTCTGCACTGGGCCCCGGGCCCGCCCCGACCCCGCCCCCGGCCCTGGCTCCGCCCCAGCCCCCGGCCCCCGGGGGCTGGTGGCGCCTTAGCTCATCCTAATCCCCACCCACACTCGCTCAGAGCGCACCCAACTGCGCACCTGCCAGCCTTTCCCGGACAGTTGGGTGCAGGGGCCCTGGGCTTGGGGAGGTAGCTGTGGCCACGCACTTAGAATCCAGTTATTTGCTCTGAGCTCCTAGTCCTCGCTGCAAACCCTGCTGAAGTGGTGGTGGGCGCGACGCAGGAGTTCCCGAACGTGAGGGGTTTGAGTTGAAGGACGCTTCGGGGCTCGGGAAGGTCACTGGAGACCTGTTTGCGTCGCCCTCAGAGGGCAATACCAAAGGAAAATGGGCTAGGGGGTGGGCCGTCCTGGCGCCGACACTTCCTGGTTGGGTGATCCTGGTCGATTGCTTAACCAACTTCAACCTCAGTTTTCTCCTCTGCAAATTGAACTGAGGTTGGCGACTTCCACCCAAAGGGTTATTGTGATGATTAATTGAGATAATTTACATAAGGTGTTTGGCACAGGGTAACCACAAGTTAGGAGGTAAGGGGGGATTTGTTTTGTTTTCGGTTTTGAATTATTTGAACTGCTTCCTAAGAGGTTTAGTTTAGACCTAGTTTAGACCTGGGGTTTAGGTGAAGGAGTCTCTATGTCCAGTGAGGAGAGATGGACATTGCTCTGTTCTGAGAAGGGCCAGAAAACGAAGGATTCATCCTTCCTGGGGCTCTGTCTCTTCCCCAACTATGGGGGAGGGAATGGGGGAGGGGCAGGGAGGAAGAGGCCAGAACCAGAAGAAAGAACAGCAGGTGTGCAAAGCCAAAGCTATCAGAGTGGCCATCAGGCCAGGTGCTCACATCTGTAATCTCAGGAGTCTGGGAGGCCAAGATGGAAAGATTACTTGAGATCAGGAGATCAAAACCAGCCTGGGCAACATAGTGAGATTTCATCTCAAAAAAATTTTTTTAAAGTAATCATCAGTGGGAGGTGACCCCAGAGCTCACCTGGTACCCTTCACCCTCCAACTGCCTACCTGTCCCCTCTCATCCTCCCACACTCCCACTCACTTTCTACCCTCCTTTACAGAGGAGGAAACCGAGGCCCAGAGAGGGGAAGTGGCACAGGCCAGACCAGACCTTCCTTGACTTTCTATTCCCAGAGCATGGCACAGTGTTTGACTCAGAGGAAGTGCTCATGCAGTTGCCAATTGAAGCCACTTTCAGGAACTCGGAGAAACTCTGAGGAAGAATGTTTGCAGACCTGAAGGCATGTCAAGGGTGCAGCCCTCACCTCCCAGTACTGCCAGGACTGGCCCAGGAAGAGGGAAGCAAGTGCCTATTTATTCCCACTTGGACATATCTGCAGCCTGGTTTCTCCAGCCCCGTTTCATTTAAATCCATCCACAGGCATATTGTGCTATGTGAAAACTGAAAATCATAGGGAAGCTTTTGGAGGAAACTACTCTCCTTTTATGCAGGAGTTGAGTGGACTCAATGCCTTCCTGTTGTTTGAGGGATGAAAGATGTTACTGATCATCATCATAATAATAGATGACATTTATGAAATGCTTACACAATAAACCCCTTTTGGATATTAGTTCTAGTCTTTACAGCATATTTTGCAAGGTGGTGTCATTTAATACAAGAGAAACCTGAGATTCAAGGGGTTAACTATCTTGTCTAAGGCCACACAGCTTTGAAGTGGCCAAGATGTGAGGCCTGTCTGTCCCCAAAGCCGCAGATCTTCTTGTGCTCCACAGTCCCTCCTCCCAAGCTTCTCCACCTGGTAAACTCATTCATTCAACAAACACTGATTGGGCCAGCCTTGTGCTGGGCACTGGAGAGCCTGGTAAACAAGGCTGACATGGTCCCCTGCCCTTAGGGAACATGGTCATATGTGCTAGGGAGACATTTCATATACAAGTGATAACCAACCTGCAGTGTGAGCGTTATGAGAGGGATCTTCGGGGACCTGACTCGTGGCTTGGGGAGAGGTGCTGGGGACTGTGCTGGTGTCTTCAGAGGGGAGGAGGCTCAAGGCAAAACAGGAGAACGCAGCTTTTTCCCCAGGCCCCTCCCCGGACTGTGGGTTCCAGAGGCGGCCAGCTGGGGGAGCCATAGCCCAAGCCTGACTGGCCCCACAGCAGCTTATGTAACCGGGAAAGCCGGGAAGGAGGACAAACCCCAGGCACGAGGCGCTGTCACACATATAGACACATGTCCCCACTGTGACGGAGAGTGGCTTCATGCAGAAAGGCGTCTCGCAGACACACGCCCCCACAGAGCGATGCACAAACACACGCACATGCTGCAAAGAAGAATACATCGTGCAGGCTGGAGAGCGCGCCTGTGACCAGGCATCACACCCATTAAAAACGTACAGGCCTACCAGCACCCCAGCTGGCGCCCCAGGGTGGCTGAGCAGGGAAAGGAGCAGAAAGGAGGCCTTTCTAGGAGTGTCAAGGCCAGACTGAGACATGAAGGAGGTGGAAGCCTGGGACTGCAGAGACACACGAGTGGGGTATACAGTAGTGACCGTGGGGCCCCTGATGCCTGGCTACACTGTGGTGTCACTAAGCCACCACCAGCTTCCCACCAGCCCACCACACAAAACCAGGTGTGGGCGTGCATCAGACGCCAGAACTGTTTCACACACTTGTTTAATTTGTTTCACCTCCAGATGACATCGGTACAAGGCACCAAGGTGGCACTGAGGTGTCATAAGTGCCATTAAAGATAATTAAGACCCATGCTCTGCTCCAAAGCAGTTTATAATCTGGCTGATATATCACACATGGCAGTCACAATCAAGGGGACATGGCTTTCAGTGAGAAGCACATTCAAAAACAGGACCATTATTGCACTCCGACCTGTGCCAGGTGTGCAACATGATCTCATTTAATCCTCACCAGAACCATGTGAAATGAATGCTATTATTATCCCTGTGAGAAAACTGAAGCATAGAGAAGTTAAGGAACTTGTCCAAGGTGAATGGATTGGTTACTGTCCAAACCAGGATTTGAACCTAGGGCTGTCTAACCGTGGAAGCTCTGCTTCTAACTCTGTTACATTACTTCTTAAAGGGAAACATCACTAGACACAAAGCTAAACATAAACCTAGCACACTTAGGTACGTACCCAACTATAGACACAGATACTGCCATGGAGACAGAGTGACAAACACGTAAAATAAACAAGCACACATAATCAGCAGATGGTAAGACATAAAGACATATGGAAAGGACACACAGACACACACAGGACTCAGCTCTCTCTCTTCTAAATGTGTATGAACCCCAGCTTTGTCAGGCGCTAAGGATCACACACAAGAATGTCCTGTGATCTATGTGTGTTTATAAAGCGTTGGCCCGTACTGCCCTGATGAGCTATATTTTCCCACCCTCCCAAAAAGGAAAATCTCTTTGCTGAGTTGCTGAGAGTCTAAAGCAAAGTCAAAGGCAGAAGTAGCTCAACAACCTGTCCTCACCCGGACAACAAACTCATTCAGAGACACACCAAAACGGTGGTGCGCACACATAGGTAAACACGCAGATAGCATGCACACTCGAGCACACCCCCAGAACCGCGAAGCCATCTGCCCCGCTCACACACACCTACACACATTCACACTCCACGCTCTCCCTCCTTCCTGCTAGGCCAGGCATCTGCAGCCTCATGGACTCTGCGTGTGTCTGCGTGTGCGTGTGTGTGTGTGTGTGTGTCTCCACTCCCTGAACCCTCCTCTCGCCCTGGCTGAGCCCACACTCCTGCCCCAGTTCTCAAACCCTATGCCAAGGGGGCGGCACAGCTGTTCAAGAATAGTGGAGCCACAGTGCCACTGGGGCCTTGGCACAACCTGGCCCTGACTCCTGAGGGGGCCCTGCCATTTATGTACCCAGGGTGAGTGCCAGCCGCCGCCCACTCTGGAATGCCATGCATGAGTCCCCAGGAGCTGGAATCCCCTCAGCCTCCCTCCCGACAAGTTCTTTGTTCCCCAGTCCCACAGGGTGGGTGCCTGGGCTCCACCCCCGATGCTGTCCACCCCACTCCTCCATTCCCAGCCAGCACAGGGGGGACCAATGGCTCCCACGACATATGTCTGGAGGGCAGTGTGGGGCGGAGGCACTTCTTCCCCAACCTGAGCAGCCTGGGGTGGGAAGGGATGAAGCAAGGGCAGAGCCCGCAGTGCTTTGGTTAGACAGCGGGTTGTGGGCCGAGAGTTGTAGCTGAGCCTCTGGGGGTAGGAGATGGTTAGCACCAGGTGGCCGCCCTTAGCCACCGAGCATGAGCAAGAGGCAGATTTGGAGAATGGGTTATTTGTCAACATCCAGCTCTGAGTGAGGTGAGAAGGAAGCTATAGCAACTGCTGCTACGTACTGAACACCTGCTTCGTGAAGGGCACTGTTGTACACGCTGTGCGTGCACACGCTCATTTAGCCTTCACAGTCCCGTGAGTAAGTGCTGTGGTTATCTCTATTTCACAGATGGCAGGCAGAGATTACATAATGTACCTAAGGTCACATAGCTAGCAAGTGGCAGCGCCCAGATCAAACACAAGCTACTCGACTCCCAAACATTCTTCTTCCTCCTGCTCCCCTAACCTGCTCACATTTATCCATATGTCCACACACACAGACACACACACACTCACCTATCTGGTGCCTGTGCAACCTTTAGAAATAACTGTCTTTTCCACTACGTAGCTCCAGCTTCTAGCACACAGTGTGTGTTCAATAAATATTTGCTGAATGAATGAATGCAGTGCTGGAGGCCCTGGCAAAGAGGAAACAATGAGAGTTGTGTGTGTGTGTGGTGGTGCTATGGGTGGGGGGGGGAGGGAATGGGGGATTTCTTGCAAACACACAGAGCCCTCTGCTGCAAGTAATGTCAAAGACTGCTTCTAACTCTGGGGCCCCAGCCCTCCAAAGCTCCCTGGGTGGGGAAGGAGCATCCGAGGTGGAAGGGGGTCTGGACTCTCTGCTGCAATCGGAACTTAGGAAGGGGGACTAGGAGAGCTCTGGAAGAGGGCAGGAGGCACGTGGCCACCACCACAGGCTGCTCAGCCAGGCGCAGCTCCTGCGCTCTCACCTCTCCCTGACCTGGTGCTTCGAGCTGTCCCCCAGCCTCCCTTGGGCAGCCCCTGCCTCCTCCGCTTGCCCACCTGGACGCTCCGGGAACCCAGCACCCCTTGGCTATTTTGGCTAAAGATTGAACAATTCCCCTTTTCCCTAGTCCAACTGAAACAAGGGTGGAATTTTTCCAAAGGCTCTCTATTAGGAAAGTAAAGGGAAAACAAAGCCAGAAATAAAGACTGTAAAAACAAAGAAACAGATGGAACAGTGGGAGTGAACGAGCTGGCCCTGGGAGAGAGCATGAGCCAGAGTCCTGGTGCTAGCATGCCCCCTCCCCTTGCTCCCACACCCTGTCCTCAGCCCTTTGATGGCCTTCCCCACTCTGCAGTTTTGTAATTACAGGGCTTGTTTATATCTGCCTCTCCATCTTGGCTCCCGGCTTCTCAAGGCCATTGTTAAATTAACTCTTTTCTGCTTTGCTCCAGCGCCCAGCACAGTTGCCTGGCAAGGAGTGGAAGCCCAGCAGACATTTGCAGAGTGACTGAGCAAGTGCGTGAGCAGCGAGTGATGAGACAGGGAATCTGGGCCCTTCCTCTCTGGCGGCCACGTCGCCTCCACAGGGGACACTGATTTCCTCTGGGGTCCATCTTACCCTGGTCACCCACATCTACAGCCGATAGAAGGTTTCTCCTCCTATTTCAGAGCCCGAACCTTCCAACCCAGGCCGGCTTCTTGGGCAGCCTAGGAAAGGCTGAGTTCTGTCCTCCGAGGTGGGAAGGGCGCTGGGGATCTGATCAAGCTGGAAAAAGAAGTTGCAGTCTGAAGGCCCGCACACTGGAAATCACAGGCAGAAATGATAGCTAACATTTATTGAGCATTTTAATTCTCAAAACAACTCTGTGAGTTAGAGCTGTTGAGGAAACTGAAGTTCAGAGAAGCTAAAATATTTGTCCAATTAGTGGTAGACCTGACATTTCTTATCCAGGCGTTCTGACTCCGAAGCACGAGCTCTTAACCACGTTGCTGTGCTGTGTCTGTGTAGCACAAACCATCATCCTGAGAAGGAGCTGGTGCCCCGGGCGACGATGACAAGGGCGTGCAGGTCCAGACAGCCGGCAGGACAAGGTGACGGAATCAAGGCGAGCAGGACTGGCCGCTCCAGGAGAGCACTGATGCTCTGGGTGCTTGGCATGAAGGATCCCAGCTCCCAAACTGGATAATATCTCTGGGGCCAGGGGACTAGACAGAACGAACCTGACAATTAGGGGCTGAGGTGGGCTACCAGTCAGGAGCTCAGATGCAGGAAATAAAGCTCCTCTACTCCCAACTAACTGAAAAGCTTTGGAGCTCGGATGTCAGCACCAGACGGCATAGCCTTGGGCAGACCTGGATTTGCCAGCTGTGCAGCCCGGATCTGTCACTGATGTCCTCTGGCCTTAGTTTCATCATCTGTAAAACGAGAATTATTGCAGCACCAATCTCATTGGTTTTTGAGGATAATTGTGAAGGTGAATGAGAAACGTATCATGGGGCCTCATTACCAACCAAGCCAGGCACGGGCAGGGTGGGACAGCAGTGATGGACAGGAGTCTTCTCGACGGGCACGCCTGCCCCTGCTGCCTCGCCTCTGCTCTCTCTGTTGCCCACTGCCTGCTGTCTCCTTCCACCTCTGCGACCCTCTTGGAAGAGGGTAACCTACACCCTGCCCCAGCTTCCTCACCATGCACTCCTCAACCCTTCATGATTTTATTTCCAAGCTTGACACACTAGGGAAATGGTTTTCTCAAAGGTCACACTGGTGACCTGTGAGTTGACAAAATGGTAAGCAGCTTTCATTTCCCCTAGGCATTCGAGATTTGAAACTGTCAGTTTCTTGCTGCTCTCCCAGCTCAGTGGTCACCTCTGTGCAAATGACTCCCAAGCTCTAGTCCCCATTTCCGTCACCCACTGAGCACCTTCACCTGGAGCCCTGCCAGTAGCAGCTCAACCTTAATATGCCCCAAAGCAAACTTGGGGCTTCTCTTCTAAACAATCTCCTTTCTTCCCTACCTCATTTTAGTTAACTTTGCACCAACACCTCCGGCATCTCCAACTCCTTCCTTCCTTCCCCTGACATCCAATCAGTTGCCAAATCCTGAAATTCTACCTCACAAGAATATCTTTCTCATCCATCCCTGTCTTCTCTCTGTCATTGCTACTGTCTTGCTCCAGACCTTCACAACCTATAGCCCCTGCCAGTCTCTTCTTTCCAGCCCAACACCCCTGCCCGTGTTCATACATGCACCCTGCAATCAAGGGACCCTTCCCAGAGCACAATGGCAGTGAGATTACTCCCCTGTTCAAAAACCGGAAATGGCTCCATATTGTTTATAGCAATATTTCCCAAACTTGCTTGGTGGTAAAAAATACAGATTCCTACTCCCCATCTCCACCTTCATGAATCAGAATCTCTAAGAGATGTGCCTGCTGTTTGAGACACATACCTCTCTCTATATATATAGAAACAGAGTCTCTCTCTTTGTTGCCTGGGCTAGAGTGCCATGGCGTCATCATAGCTCACAGCAACCTCAAACTCCTGGGCTCGAGCAATTTTCCTGCCTCAGCCTTCCAAGTAGCTGGAACTACAGGTGTGAGCCACCATGCCCCGCTCTGTTTTATATTTTTTAAAAGCACCCAGGTGACTCTTGTCATCAGAGCCTTTAAATGACACACTGTCATTTAGAATGGCACTTTGTCTGGCATTCAAGGCCCTCTGCGAAACGGCTCCAACATCTATTCCAGTACTGCCTCCCATGTTTCCATTTTGTGCACTGGAACTTCATCCCTCCGTGCCTGTGCTCACATTGTTCCCTCCCCTTTGTGCCTCTGAGCCAGATCCTACCTATCTGCCAAGACCCAACTAGAATACCACTCCTTCCATGAAGACCTTCCTGATTCTCCCAGCTGAGAACATCTCCCCCTTCTCTGGGTTCCCACTGCCCTGGAAATGCAGTGGTGTGCAACCAGCGGCCAGCAGCGCCTGGCTCAACACACAGGCTCAGTGTTGGCACTTTCCCTCCCCTTTACCGTCTGCAGTACTCCTCCCTGTCACCATTGCATCCAGGAGGTACCTAACCCTAGTCATGTGCTCCTGGAAACAAGAACCCAGCATGGAAGCTTCCATGGGTCCTTACAGCACAGAAGTTAAATATGCAGGCTCTGGAAACAAACTTAAGTTTGAATCCCAGCTCCCCTACTTGGGTAAGCTTAGGGTCAGTGTGCCTCAGTTTCCCCATCTGTAAAATAGAATTGTGATGAGGACTAAATTAAGTAAAGCATGCTGTCTTCATCAGTTCTGGAGGCTGGGAAGTCCAAGACCCAGATGCTGGCAGACCTGTTAACTGGTGGGGTCCAATTCCTGGTTTGTAGACAGCTATTAATATCTTCTTGCTGTGTCCTCACACGGCAGAGAGCAGACAAAGAGGAAGCAGGCTCTCTCCTGTCTCTTCTTATAAGGGCGCCAATCCCATCCATGAGGGCCCTACCCTCATAACCTAATTACCTCCCAAAGCCCCTACCTCCTAATACCATCACCTAATACTCACATCCTTTATCGAAAGGATTCGTTCTGTAAAATTTGGATTTAGTCAAAATGCCAAACTCAAGGATCCAGGAGGCCACGTGTGACCCCAAGTCTGCAGGTTCCCCACCCCATTGCTTCACCTTGTTGATCAGAGGTAAAGGACTTGGTCGAGCTCACACAGCTAGTTAGTGGTAAAGCAAGTCCCAACACTGAAAGCCTCTGCCCTCCCCGCAGCCCAGTCTGGAGCGATTTCCAGTATGCCATGCCCTGGCCTTCGCTCTTGCAGTGTTGGGATGAAAGAACCACTGAGGCAGGAGGCAGAGCCCAGGCCTACCCACTCTCGCTTGGCAGAAATGGAGGTAAAGAAGTGGGGGGCATTAGAGGAAATGGTGGGGGAGAGTCCCCAAGGGCTAGGAGCTTGCCCTGGGAAGACAAGGTCAAAGGACACGCTGGAGTGATGTGGTAACTAAATGGCATAAGATTCTGAGCAAAAGGACAATGAGGTGGGGACCTTTGTTTGCCGTGATTGTAATGGCCTCTCCAGTACCTTGCACAGAATTCAGCATACAGTAAGTGCTCAGCAAATGCTGGCTGACTGTCTGAATGGGGCAATAGTATCAAGAAGCGCGTACACTATTAATTAAGTTACCCTGGGGGAAACTCGCATTCCCCAAGGGGTGGTGGTGAGAACATTCGGACAGGAGCACAAGAGTGAAAAGATCCTGGACTTTCAGAGAAACCAAGGCATGGAGGAGGCCAGGCCGCCTGAAATTCCGAGGCGAGCTGGTTATGTGAGAGGGAGGCAGTGGCCTTGCATGCCAGATGTTTGCAGGGCACCCTACCCTAGCTGGACATCCGGAAAGCCAAAGGGGACAGGCAGATAAACAGAGCTGTATCCTGGGCCAAGCAGAGGGGGCCTGGTAGGGGAAGAAGGAGGAGGCAGGGGCCAAGCCAGGCTGCCTCTTGATAGGGGGAGCTGGGAGGCGGGGTGCTCTGGGCCACTGGCTGGGTCAGATCTCCAGCCAAAGCAAACCTGCCTCAGGGGGTTGGGGGGCTGCTCCCTCCCTGCCGGATGGAATCAAAGGAAAACAGGAACCCTAGAGGGCCCAGCTGTGACCCTTGCCCCCCACACTCAGCAAGACCCATTAACCCAATCCTCCCTGTATCCCCTAACTTACTTATCCCAGCCCAAAGAATCTCTGGAAACAGATTCCTCCGGTATTTGCTGATCAAATACCAGCCAAGAGATGTCAAGTTTTCCCAGACTCCCCGCAGCCCTGCCTGTCTCCCCAAAAGATACCCAGACCCTGTCCCACCTCTCACAGTGGCCCTCTGTGAGAAACCAAGGGAGTCTTTGTCTGAACCTGAGCCCTTCCTCTTTTCTATGCCAAGAGTTAAAGGGGTCAGGCTCATTTCTGCAGGTTACACTAATAACAAAGCAGGAGCACCTGGCCCTGTGCTAACAAGCTAGGAGTGCCCACCCCCTCCGATCTCCTTCTGAACCCAGGTCTCCACCCGATTGATGGTTCTTGCACTGATACAGCAACAGGTAACTTCTGCTGCTCACCTGAGCTGAGCCATGAGCTGAGGGGGGAGTAGCCTGGAATGTGGGGATCATCAGAGTTGGAAAGGGACACCAGAGGTTTTCTCACCCAGTTCCTTGTCATTCAAAGGAAGATGACAAGGCCAGAGCATAGAAGCCACTTGTCCCCTTGTCCACTTGTCCAAGGTCACACAGGTGTTAGTGGCCCAGTAGGACCAACCTCAGCTGGCCTGACCTGCAGGCAAGCACCCACTGCATCACACTGCTCCAGGGACCAGAATGCGAGTTGGGGCAGAGGAGACAACAAGCACAGAACAGCCCTGGGCCATCATGCTCAGGGAGAGGGGTTGACAAGGGCCCCTGGGCCACACCAAGGGTCCTTTTCTTTTCCTGCCTGGCTTCCACCTGTGTGCGTAGGTAGGAACACAGCACGGAACTATCCACACCCAGAGAGAGTAAGGTCAAAAAGCTGTGGGTATGGAGCACAGGCAGAGAGATTGAGGAAAATACTTCTGGGTACTTTTTCCTCCTACTTCCTAAGTTCTATATAATGTGGTTTTAAAAATAAAAAGGATAATAAAAACAATCTGAGGGAGAAATTAAAGATGACAGAACCAAGGAGAGACAGAGGAAGAGATTTTTTTAATGCAGAAAATCTGAATTTGAGGAGACTGAAAAGAAAGATTAGAAAGAAAACAGAGGAGCAGATGTCAAAAGAGAGATGGAGAGAAAACTCAACACTGTCCTTGTGGTCCAGTGGGGAAACTGAGGCAGCAGCAGGACTGGGACAGCCACTCGGTGGCTCTGAGCCCGGACTTCCAACTGCAAGGTCACTACAATCTGAGGGAGTGGAGGACAGCGGGCTGGACAGGAAGGGGAGAGAGAAGACACCTTTCCTGGACACTAGACATGGACTCCAGCCATGCCCTCCTCACTCCTCCCGTCCTATCGCCCCAAGATGGGCCAGCCTTGGAAGCAGAAAAACTTCCCCCACACCCCCCAGAAAGCCTCAGAAGCCTGACAGCGGTGACAAGCCCACAGGCCCTAAAGGAGAAAGGAAAAGGAGAGTTAGAGGAGGAAGAAGGGAGCGAAGGAGAGACTTCCTGAGAGGCCTGGCTCGGGCAGGAGCTCCGGCAGGAGCAGGACTGGAGAGCTGGGCCCGCGCTGGGACTGGGGCAGAGCCGTGGGGTGAGGGGGCGGGAGGAGGGACAATGGGGTGATAGAGCCTCCCAGCTCTTCCTTCCCTCCCTCTCTCCCTCCTCCTCTCTCTTTCATGATCTTGAAACAACCTTCAAGTCTGGGCTGGAGGCCCCAGGAGGCCAGTCACTTAGGAAACAAAACTGTTTCTTGGAGACCTTGGAAGCCCATCTGCAGCTGAGCAGCATCCCCACCCCCTCCGAGCACATACACATTCTCCCATGGACGCTCACGTACGCCCACGCCCGCTGCGCACGCGCGCCGCGCTGGCCCCCACGCACGCACGCGTGCACGCGCACAGACTCACACGCACCTGTACACTAGCCACGCTTGCACACAGATAACGCACGTGTAATGGGTTGGCCGCAGGGCCACATGAGTGTCGCCCTCCAGTCCTTTGAGGAGCTGCTCCTTCGGAATTCCCGTTTGGTGCGTTGACACTGATACCGCACCCGGGTCCTCCTCGGGCGTGAAATAGCACGCACGCTCACGTACACACAGGGCCCTACGTCCCAGAGCTTCTCTTAGCGACCAAACATTGGATTCCGGACCCCTCCCTCCCCTCTCTGATCTGTGACTTCTCTCAAGCCCACGCCGCAACCCAGTCATGCTAGCTTTCCTACCTCCTGCTTTCAAGCCTGTCTTTCTCTCCCTTTTGCTCCTCTTACTCCAGGGGCCTTGATCCAAGCTAGTACCTCTGGCTGTGCTCAAAGAAAGCAGCCCAGGCACTCCAGATCAGAGGATCGGGTGTCAACACCCGTTTATGTCCTGCAGTCTGAGGTACATGGTGGACAAGAAGGAAGTGACTCCCGGAGTCTCACCTCTCACCGGGAAGGGAGGGTGGCCAGTGACACGTGGGTGAAGGATGGGCCCTGGGTGTCCTGTGCCCCCCTTGGACTTGCCTGAGTCCCAAATGTGTGAGTGGCAGTGCCCTGGGGCTGTGCTTTCTCGCCCAAATGCAGGGCATGGCAGGGAGCCCCGGCAGGCTGTAGGGGCAGAGGAAGGGCACCGTCCTTTCCGGTATTGAGCCTGGCTGCGGGGACCAGAGCCAGGGCCTTTGGAAGGACTGGGCAGTACTGGAAGGTGCCAGCGGGGGGTGGGAGGGGGATGGAAACTGTTAGAGCCCAGCGCCTGAAGTTTGCACACCTTCAGGTTCTGAGACTGGAGTTTGCTCTTCTTTTTCACTTTGTGTCCTGGAGAAGGCTGGGCAGAAGGTAACCCAGGAACCTAAGGAACAGTGCTTCCTAAACCCCAAGTTATCGCGTCGTTCCCCCAAGCCCCAGGGCAAGGTTGCCCCAGTTTTGAAAGCCCCAGCCACCTTTGGGCCACTCTTCTGGCAACTTCTACCCTGGGCAGTGTCTCCTGATATCTAACCACAAGCGTTCTTGCCACACCAGCTACTCTCCTCTCACTCTCTCCTCTACACACAGGGGCTTGACCTGGCATCTCTGTGTTCCTGTCACTGTTTCCTCCCTCTGCCTGTTCTCCCCCAGCCCCAAATCCCAGGTCAGTGGAGGGGGCCGTGGAGAGACACGAGAAGGCCCATGGCCTGCCCCATCCTACCCACCCTTTCTGCCTGTAACCCAGGAGGAGGAAGGAGGGTGGAAGTGGGATGTAACCTTCCGAATCCCTGTAATGGAAAATCTCAACTGCAGGCCTGGAGGGGGCCAGTTATTTAGGGAATTCAGATGTGAGCCCTGTGCCCTGAGAGTGGATTTGCTGGAGGAGAGGTCGATAATCTCTCTGCAGGGAGTTCCCTCTGGGGCCAGAGAGGGACCCAGCCCAGCCAGCGGGCAACAACTTAGGTCTCTGGGCCACAGCCCCCCCTTCCCTCCTTCCTTTCCGGCTCACTTCCTTTGCTCACCAGGGGCTCAGACTTGCCCCCACTCTGCTGGCTGCCCTTCACGCCATTTCTGTGCCCAGAGAAATAGGGACATTCCAGGAGAATCCTGTCCCAGGAAAAGGTGGGAGCAGGGTTTTTCTTTTTTCTCTCTGCCCCTTCTGGTTTCCCTTCTTTCTTTGCCTGTCATTCTTGGGCTCTTTCATCAAATGAACAGCAACGACACCCCTAGACTGGCCAGTCCTGTCCAGGGTCATCTCCTCCACCCCTGTTTCTAGCTGGTGTAAAAGACAGCCCTTCCCGCCAGGGGCAAGGCCCCCTCCCCGCTCCCCTGGTACCTCTCCCAGGCCTCACTGCAGGGGCCTCCGCTCTAACCCGTTCCAGGTTTGCCTGCCCTGCCCCGCTGGAAAAAGGAAGCAGAGTTCACATACCTGGTATCTGTTATGCCGTTGACTGCCACACACCTCTTAGAAGCTCTCTGTTGTCTTCTTTTGACGTCTCCCCACACTACTTGCCAAACCCAGACAGAGGTTCAGCCTGGAGCCCTTCAGCTGCGATGAAAGGAGTGGTATGTCTGCTCCTTAAACAGGTTATGGAAGCCCAGGGGTGGCATCACACGCCTGCTGGGCTGGGTCCAGGTGGCCCTCCTGGTCCCTCAGGTCCCACTGTCCCTGGCCTGCCCCTCTGTAACTGCTTCCTGGCCCAAGGAGTCTTGATTTTCTTCCCAAACTTTGGAGAGGTTACATCCAGGAGGACTTGGGGAGACCCTCCCGCCCATCCCCACGGCTCGAGCTGCCTCCTGGGCCACCTTTGGCTCCCACTAGGGCCCCCTCCCACGTGCCTAAATGCAAGGGCCAGCTCTGGGTTCAAAGTCTAACTTTTTCTTTTTATTTTCTGTCTGCCTTTTCTGGTTTCCCTTCCTCTCTTTGACCGGCCGTTCTTGGGCGCTTTCATTAAATGAGCAGCAGGGACACCCCAAGACCAGCCAGCCCTGTCCCTGCAACTCTGTAGTGGAGGGAACCGGCTCTCTTTCTTTCTCTGGGAAGTTGGATATAGACTCAGGAGACCTGAGTTCTGGTTCTGGTCTTATCAGCTCAAATTGTGTGATCCCTCTGAGCCTCAGTTTCCCCACCTGGAAAAGAAGAGGAAGGGTTAGACCACATGGCCTCTGGCATCCTAGGATTCTGAGCGGACTGCCCCCCCAGCCTGTTCCTAAAGGGCGAGTTTCCCCACTCTCCATCCTGGCCCCCTCCCCTCACCTCCCTCAGCGGGCCTGTCACAGGCCAGAGGGGGCTGAGGGGGTGGGGGGGGCATGCTGAGGGACAAACGACTGTCAAGGGCCAGCAGCTAAAGGGGCGGGAGGGGAGGAGTCCTCAGGGATCCTGTTTCAACAAACGTTTCTTTCCCGAGGAGGGGAAGGCGGGGGAGAGGGGGAGAAGGACCTATTTAAAGCTACCCTGTTGCTTCGGCTGTCTCTGTCTGTCTGCCAGGGTCTCCGGCTGTCCCAGGCTGGCTGGCGTGGGCTTGGGATCCTCCTGGTGACCTCTCCAGCCTAGGTCCCTCAGCCACTCTGCCCCAAGATGGGCCGTGGGGTGAGTATCCCCAAAGAGCAAGGGTCGCTCTCTGGAGGGTTAGGGAGGCTACAGAAAAAGGATGGAGTGGAAATGGGATGTGGAGGGAGGGGAGAAGCTGACCGAGTGGGATAGTTTGAACGTGGAACTAACAGTCTCCAAACTGCAAATGCGTGTGTGGATCCCACGGCGCTCGCATGCCAAGCACTCTTCTCTGCCCGCCCACGTTGGTTGGCCCCACAGCCGGCCCCACACGCCCCTCCAGCTCTCCCTCCACCCCGTCCCGCATCCCTGGCCCTGCTCTTCCCCAGGGCGGTCCTCCTCTCCCACCACATGTCCCACTGAAGGGATCTTTGGCACCGTTAGTCCTCCCACCTTTGCTACCTACTGAGAATATCCACTGCTCTGGGAGAACCAACCTGAGAGGATGGGGGTCCAATGTGAGCTTGGAGAGGAGCAGCAGAGCATCCTGCTCCCCGAGTCACCAAGCAGTTCCGGACACCAGCTCCAGGGGCCCTGAGTGCCAGGGACAGCTGGGAGGGGTGTGGGGAGGAAGAGCAATGTGCCCCCAGCCTAGCACCCTCCGGATGTCCCAGGCAGCAGCATTGTCCTCGGGGCTCCGGGCCATGGGCTTTGAGGACTTTCCCAGAGGCTAGTGAGAGCTGCCCCCCCAGCCCCCATCCCGGTCCACCCCAGTCCATGGCATTCTGCAGTGACGGCCACGCCAAGGGGAAGATTAACAACCACGATGGGGGCGGGGCAGGCAGGAACAGGGCTTCAAATTCTTGGAAATGAAATTCCCATATGGAGCAAAGTGACCCAATCTCTTCCCATACTGTGCCTGGCTGCTTTCCCTTTGTGGAATGCTGGCAAAAGAGGGCACCGAGGGGAAGGGCATGGTGAGCACTAGGAGGGTGTGAGGAAGACAGTGCCTGTGGGGGGCGGTGGGATGTTTCTGGGCCCAGGAGGAGCCAGGCAGGGGTGTGTTATTGCACTGTGTTGAGCAGCTGGGAAAACTCTGAGCCTGGACACCAGGGTTCCTGAGCTGGGGTGGGAGCTATAAATAGAACCGGAGTGTGTGTGTGTGTGTGTGTGTGTGTGTGTCCACGACCACGTGTTCTCTGTAGGCTGCAAGTCCTGCAGATATTCATGGACGAGCACCTGGGTTTGTGTCTCAGCAGGCAAATTTGCAAATGTGCAAGCCTTCCAGCATGCAAAAGCATAGGTGTCGCTGTGTGGACGCATGAGGGTCTGTGGGCCTGCTCTTAGCAGCTGTCTGAGAGGTGTGGGTCTACCAGATAGAGGTCACGGTCCTGGGAAGATATACTGCCTTGGGCCCTTCAGCTGCACCTTGACATCTCTTGCTCCCCACAGAAAGGAGTCCCCAGCTGAGGTGCAGGACGTCAGAGGAGAGGCTGGGGCTGACCGGATCAGACAAGCTCCCCACTCCCTGACCCGAGTGGGGAGAGCAGGAGGGGACATAGCCCCCTACCGTGCTGCACCTTGGAGCAAGGTGGACCCAGCTCAAGGTGTCCTGTGTGGGAAGCGATGTGACCTTGACTTCTCCAGTCTGTCCTGCTTCCCTACAACCCCAGAATTCCCCAGGAGCTGGGAGTGAAGTAATAGCAAGACCAGGCACAGATCTGGGCTGTCTGGGCTAAGAGACTGGGCGAAGTGGGGGCACTTAGGGCCTGGAACTTGGGGTCCAACCTTCCAGGGGACCCTTGAAGAGGGACAACACCCACTACCCACAACCTGTGCCAGAGGTCATTTTTCACCTCCAATCCCTTCTTGCCTGCATCTCCACTCCAGAGCCGGGCCCAACTGTCCCCCATCACCTTGTGGCCGTGAAGGGCAGCGTGGGAGTGGGGGGAAGGGCTGGCTCTTGTGGGGGGTGAGCCCAGCCTGCTCCAGCTGCCACTGAGCACTGGTGGGGGGGCGCTGGCCCATACCCAGCTGCCCCCGCTCTGTCCCAGCCGCTGGCTTTCTCAAAAAGAACTCTCTGTTCTCCTTCAGCATTCAAGACCCAGAGAGGGGGACTTGTGGTTGGGGGAGGGAGGAGTGGGGGGAGGAGGGGGGTCCTTGCTTCCTCTCTTTCTTTCTTGCCTGGGCAGCCGCTGGCCCCAAATCTCTGCAGGCTCCTGGCTGCAGAGCCTGCGATCCTTGCCAGGACGACAGGAGGGGGAAGGGGCAGTGTGTCCCAGGCTCTGAGGCTGCTGCAGAGCAGGGTGGGAGCTGGGGAAGGAGGCACTGCGTGGAGCTGCTCAGCTCAGCCACAACCCAACATGCCAAAGTGCAGGGGCCAGCAAGTGTTTAAAACGTGTGCATTTGACTCCAATTTTGTAAACTTTATTTCATGTCTGAATGCACAGAAATTCCTCTGGGCTCTGTCCACCCCCCTCCGCCCCCGCTGCATGCCCAGTCCTGCTTCTGTCCCTGAAGCTCCTGGGGGTCACATGGAAGCTTGTCCAGCCTGATCTCTTACCTCCGCTCCCTTCACCGCATTTCATCCTTTCCTCAGACTTGTCCGGACAAGGACAGAGTTAGCGAATCTAAAGCATTTCAACCCGTGCCACCAAATGAACCCTCTCAAGCCACCGGGGAAGGGAGAGGTACAACTGCTCACGAGCCTTTCCCCGCTCCTTCTGTGGGGCTGCTTCAGTCTCCCCAAGATGATCAGCCTCGAGGAGGCCAAAAATAGCCTGGATTCGCAGATGCTCCAGATGGAGACAAGTGTATGATTTACTGGTCACCTTTGCTGAGAAGAGCACTTCTCAGCAAGCCAGCCTCCCAGAGCTCATATCCGTTTAGTTCGTCAGTGTCTTGGGAACAGCAGTGTCTCCCTGCACCCCCGCCCCCACCCTTGCTCCTGACTCCGCTGGTCAGACTTCTCAGGGTGCTGGATGGGTGGCTCCTCATGGCCAAGGCAACTGCCACATTTCTGGGATTGCTCCTGACTCTTTGGTGGGTAAAAATGCATTATCCCAAAGCTCAGAGGATTTAGAGCAGCGAAACTCTTCCACGTGATACCACAACAGTGGGCGCCTGTCCTTATACATTTGTCCGAACCCGTAGAATGTACAACACCAAGATGGAACCTTAATGTAAACCGTGGGCTCTGTGCGCTGGTGCTGTGGCAGTGTAGACTGGTGATTGTAGCAAATATATCTCTCTGCTGCTGCTGGAAATTGATAGTGAGGGAGGCTGTGCATGTGTGGGGGCAGGAAATATGTGAGAACTTTCTCTACTTTCCACTCAATTTTGCTATGAACCAAACATTGCTCCAAAAAATAAAGTCTATTTGTTCAAAAACAAATAAAACCCAAGAAAATGTATTATCCTGCAAACAAAGGGCAAACACCTTGGCTGTTGATCTTACCCAGGTATCCACTCTTTATGGGGAAAAAGAAAAACACCAAAACAAATTACATCATAGTACAGAGAAGCTCATTCCTGAAAGCCTAGTGCAGCCTGTGGAGTCCAGTGAAGAAACAGAGGCACCAGGTGGAAACTGAGCAGCCCCTCTGTGACAGGGACCCTGGATCCTGAGGGAGTGGGAGGAGAGGAGAGGCTGAAAGAGGATGTGAGAAGACGCTTTTTTTTGGACATTTGTCATGGCCACCCCAGTCCTTCCCTAGCGCCCCCTCCTCTCCTATCACTTCCTCCCATTGGAAGAAGTTTCCCGCCTTCTCCCCCCGGAAGGCCCCTGAAGACCCTGGAATCCACCTGGTAATGGTGAGACACAGGCTCTGGACAGGAAGGGAAAACGGGGGCTTCGTAAGGCTACAGTCAAAATGTCCGTCTGATGTCACCAGACGACCCAGGAATGCCCAGACCTAAGAGTGACACGAACGCTAATTTTAGATTTACTCGCAGATACAATTTCTTGTATTTTTGGACGAATGGGACCCGGTTCCCTTCTTGCCCACTTGTGCTTTGGGGTGTCGAGTCCTGTGAGTTGCCTTCTGCCCAGCAGGGCGGAGGGGGCTTCAGCACACCGTGTTCCCGGTGCCTGGACACGCGCCGGCCCTCCACCTCTGACTTCTCTCAGTCCACCAGCCCCTCTCTTTCCGTTCCTGCCGCTCCACCACCGGACCCCGTTCTCCTCCGGACACTTCCCTGCCTACCCCAGCTCCCCAGAGACGCTTGCCTCCCCAAGTCCCTGCCTCTACTCCTCCCTAAGTAACACGCCATGGTGTTGGGCAAAGTCACTCCCCCGGGGTGATTCTACTCCCTCAACACCCCCCCCCATCCACTCCTTTCCAGAATTCTCCCAAATAGCATAGGATGGTGGTTTTTAACGTTTTTGCTTTGGTTTGTATTTAGCAGCAGGGTCCTTTCACCAAACAAATTCTTAGCAGGAGCCCAAGGGCCCAAGTTCTCAACTTCAAAAGTGGTGCTCTTCAGTCCCGAGCCCTTCCTCGCCCTTCCCTGCAGCTCACACGCAGAGCCCTGTCGCTCTGCCAGGGGTCTGCAAGCTGAGGGCCTGGGCTCCCCCCAGCCTCCAGCCCCGATTCATCCCCCAGGACAATCACTGCCTCTGAACCCAAGGCCCCCAATCCCAGTGCCTGGGCCCCCGGCTGCCTGGCAGGAATGGGAGCTCCAACCTCTGTCCCCCCTGACTCCCCGGGCTCTGCCTTCCTCCTGCAGGCCGGCCGCGAGTATTCGCCTGCCGCCACCACCGCCGAGAATGGTGGTGGCAAGAAGAAACAGAAGGAGAAGGAGCTGGATGAGCTGAAGAAGGAAGTGGCCATGGTGAGGCCCACAGCCCGCCTGCCCCGCTGGGTGGGGAGGAGGGACCCCATGCTGGGAGGGCTGCCCTGGCAGCCCAGTGCACTCAGAGAAACTTTGTGCCCCGTGCTGCTCGCCTCACCCCTGCAATGCCCAGTGCCTCGTATGCAACTCACACTCAACGTGCACACACTCACCCTCCTCCCCAGAGTAACCCGCCTTTCCCTCCCCAGGATGACCACAAGCTGTCCTTGGATGAGCTGGGCCGCAAATACCAAGTGGACCTGTCCAAGGTGAGTAAAGGGAAGCAAAAAAGGGAAGCAAAGAGGCGAGAGAGCCACGCAGCGTTGGGGCAGGAGGAACCTTAATACTCAATCCAACCCTCTTCATAGATGAGGAAACTGAGGCCCAGAGACAAGTGACTTGCCTGAGGTTGCATGGCTAGTCGGTGGCACAGCCTGAACTACAGTGTGGGTCCCCTGTTTGCTAGCCCGAAGCTCTCTCCCTGTACACCCTGCGAGCCAGAGCTCCCTAGAACCCAGGCCCCAGAGGGCCTCCAGGCAGGGGCCCTACCATACCCCAGGCAAATTTAGTCACACCCAACCTCCCACAGAGCTGGCACACTGAGCTAGGGAGGTAACCCGTGTCTCTAATTATGGTAATTTGCTGGGCCCCTGCTACATGTGATGTGTGGCCCTGTGATAGAAGATTTTTTTTTTTTTTTCTGTCACCCAGGCTAGAGTGCAGTGGCATCAGCCTAGCCCACAGCAACCTCAAAGTCCAGGGCTCAAATGTCCTCCCGCCTCAGCCTCCCAAGTAACTGGGACTACAGGCATGCGCCATGACACCTGGCTAATTTTTCTACATTTTGTAGAGATGGGGTCTCTTTCTTGCTCAGGCTGGTCTTGAACTCCTGGCCTCCTAAAGTGCTAGGATTACAGGCTTGAGGCACCACGCTCGGCCTAGACACTTTATATATATATTTCTCTAACCCTTATAACAACCCTGTGAGACAGGTTCTGCATACCTATTTATTATATCAAGGAGACACAGAGAGGGAGAGTGGTTTCCCAAGGTCATATAAACAGTAAGTGGCACAGTCAGATTGCCAAACCCATCATTTTGGGGGGAAAAAAATTCATTAATCAAAAAATTTGGGGCTGGGCGTGGTGGCTCACGCCTGTAATCCTAGCACTCTGGGAGGCCGAGGCGGGCGGATTGCTCGAGGTCAGGAGTTGGAAACCAGCCTGAGTGAGACCCCGTCTCTACCATAAATAGAAAGAAATTAATTGGCCAACTAATATATATAGAAAAAAAAAAATTAGCCGGGCATGGTG